TGTACTATATCTACTCTATGATCTACTGTAACCCTATAAAGCAGTGCAGTCAGTTTTTATGCATTTACTATGCATGCTGGAAGTGGTCTGCAATTCTCCCATCCCAGCATGCCACTACTGCTCGAAGATATCTAAATAATCAAACAGTGAGTCGTTAATTTCATGTTTGCAAATACTACTAAAGAAGTTACTTATGTATGGTTGAAATACATATAAGATTTGCCTACCAAAACCCAAGGCTAAGTCAAATCACTGTTATTACCCATTAGTATACTAATATAGCTATACATATAAAAAGATAAATTATAGACATACTGTATAACAAAGAATACAAGATATCGTTTAGAATACAAATATATACAAGAAATAGTGATATTTAATTATCTTGGGTTCTGCTTGTTGGTTTATGATACTTTTTCCCTGACTTTATATCAGAGAAAAGCCCCTGCGTCTCTAGTAGGCTACTGTTCGATGGGTGACGACTATTATCATATTACAACATATAGGCTAACATAACACTTGCAGAACTAGTATGGTTCCATGCTGAATTAATATAAACGAGTATGTTTATGACATTCAGTATATAGTTCATAATTTTCAGTCTTAATCAGTAAATCCGTCTGACCGTGTAGCTCAGTTGGTAGAGCGTCGATCTAGTAATTCGAAGGTCGCGAGTTCAAGACCCAGCCGCGGCAGACAATATCTTTCTGCTTGGCCAGTTGCGCTGGGTATGGAAATTATGAAATACACACTCGAGAACATTTTCAACTTTTCAACTTAGTGCATAATCCCAGTGCTGTGTGATGCATTCTGCGTCCTTGTCCTCGAACGTAAATTTGTCAATGCACTCCAAAATTTCCTTACAGCATCTATATTCTCTAGCGTCCTGCAATAATTCGTCACTACAATGTCCACATGAGCACCTTAAAATAAACTCGCATATCAGACGAAACAGTGTAATAAATAGTCGAGGAACGGGTTAATATAATATTACTTTTATAACTTTACTTACCATGAATTAACAGCTACATTTTTCTTAAATCTCGCCTCAAGAGTATCATGAAGAATGCCGTCTTCGTCCGTTTGGTCTTCCTCGTAGTCACTATATGCGACTAGCTCAAATTGATATGGCTGAACAACAGACGATTGCTCAGCGATGTCCTCATTACCTGTTGACCCTTCTGTCTCTGTCTGTGATTCAAAGCTTTCGTTATCGGACATTTTTATAGCGAAATATAAAGGCAACTGTCTGATGTTCGTGTTATTTTGTTGTTTTCGTATAGTGAAACACTTCGGCGTGTCATACTGCATACGTCACAAGGCCCGGAACTTTAGGTACCAGTCTTTCGCCAGTAGATAGTCGAAAAAGTGAACTTTAATCGTAAAATTAACAAACTTCTGGTTCGAATTTTTCAACAAGGTTTGTATTTTTATGATCGCAAAAGACCAAATTTTCAGAAAATGCAAAAAACCCGATATCGAAATTTTCATTTCATATACACTTTAAAGTCTGTAGAATGTTTTCAATTTGATCGCTACAGCTGGCAAGAACTTCCTGAAATGCAGGAAGCGAGATACCGGGCTACTGCAATTGTATGTTAATTATATATTGTATATATTGGCATCCTAATTAAGTTGTTGCAGCAGTATTTTATACACTTTTGTACTTGGGATATGATCATAACTTTTATAAATAAAATTTTGTACCAATTTGACCAAGTTTAAAGAAAAATTAATTTGTTGAAATTTAATATGGTCAATAAAGTAGGGTGCATTACAGCATTAGGGCACATTGTGGCTTAATATTAAACCACTGAGCTGCAATGCGCCCAAATGCACACTTTGCCCCAAGGGAAATATCATCACGGAGGGTAATGTTTTTCGACGAATCCCCCAAGCCAAAGGGTCTATGAATAATATGTTATATGGAAAATTAAAAGCCACCAAGTTGAGAATATAAAACTTGCCACATACCTTTTTAATATAGTGAATACGATGTTTTATGTTTTGTAATGATTAACTCAACTTACTCAAGTATTTGTCACTTCTCTTTCGAATCACATATCGTTTGGAATATTGATGATAACATTTTTCAAAATTTGCTTCAAAATTTTCAATAAAGAGCTTTCTTTGAAGTTTAATATTTTGATAATTCATCACTCCTTGGTATATTTTGTCGGCCATCTTATTTGCGTGATCGCCGCGCGTGGTTCACGCGAATCATATCTCCCCGGGTAATACACACGCAAAAACTCACATCTTGTAACGGTCTGTAACAGTTTGTCACAAATTGTCAACAAGTTTGTAACAACCTTGTTGATATTATCAGGCTTGTTACAAGGTTGTTTCAACAAGTGCGATACAGTCATGATACAGCAGTATTGTTACAACCTTGTGTCGTCAACCTTGTAACATTCTTGTTATATCATGGCTGTATCAGACTTGTTAGAACAACCTTGTGACGAGTCTGATAATGCCATCAAGCTTGTTACAAGTTGTTAACAGCTTGTTCCAAACTTGTTACAACAACTGGGAACAAGCAGTGCGAAGACAACTTGTCGACAGTTGTGAACAGACTTGTAACAACTTGTTTGCAGTCCTGTAACAACGTGTGTGTTTTTACGTATGTATGATGAAACCACCGCGTGATTTGTACCTTGTGAAACATGCATGACAGCGGTTAGCCTGTGTAGCAGTCGCTTTATTTTATTAAAGGTTTTGAGGATTTTTGAATAAATGGGTGAGAAAAAGATAGTTTCCTTCGCCCATTTTTTCTAACCCGCCATTTATTCAAAAACCTCAAAACCTTCAATAAAATAAAGCGACTGCTACTGAAGGACATTTTCATTGGCACTTTCAAAAACACTAATGGATCTATAACCAGTCAGTTTAAAAAGGTGTAACGTGCGATTAGCCTTATACGAGAAGTACTTTCTCGGGGGGGGGGGGGGTACAGGAGTATGTCGCCCGGAAAATTTTTGAAATCAGTTGTCCGGAAACGCCATCATGTTTTCTGCATTCTGAGTCTTCAAATTTGTTCTAAGATTTATGCTAACTGTACTTGTATTTCAGATAAAAATAAGGAAAACGCACAAACTTTATTTACCAAAAGTAGTATCAAAACATTAAATGTACAACATGTGAGTCAATATGTGACCTGAAAGGAACTGATGTCCATTAACACAAATAGATTATAGTGACGTTCGTCAAAGTAATATCAAATCTTGTTTTCCAGTTTTCCTTAAACTGGAAAATAGACTAAACTGAGTGAGAATAACTGATACATTCTGTTGAACTAAATTGTTTTTCCTCTTCGAACTAAATTTATCTTTTTAAAAAGTGATTTTGACTAGGAGGGGGAGGGGGACAAAATAAGTAACTGGGGAGAGGGGTAACATGAGGGCTGGGGGCCTTCGCTCGAAATGTCAAATTTTTGTTTGTATTTTTTCAGATAATGGAATCCCTATCAATCTACAGTTGTCTCATATAAAATCACTCTTTAATCAATTATATATAGTTTTAATCCAGCTTATATCATTTATGTATTACTTGATATCATTCATAAAGTTTTTTTCCGATGAAACAGTAGTTTATATAATAATGCAGCTGCTGTTTCGGCGTCTTGTGGTGTAGACAGGGGAAGGTGTGAAACTTCTCTTCACTTCGGACAACGGGTTATCATAATTTTTTCTTTTCCACGAGCCGGAGTAAACCATGACCTCGGTCACAAAAGCCTTTCTTCCCAAGACCATAACAGATTCCCCAGCTCACCCCAAAGACGCAACCGATACCGCACCCACAGCTCCAGCCCACCCCAGAGACGCACCGATCACGTACCCCGAGCTCTTCCCCAACCAGCAGCGGAACCAGCACCAGCCCCCAGATCTCGTTTCCCCCGGGGTAGTTTTGTCGGTCATCGTATATTTCGGTATGGTATCCATTACTGGAGTGTGGAGATCAACCACTCACAATGTCCTGGTGATGATAGCTGCTTATTTGAAATCGGAGTTATCAGTCATGTCAATGCCAACACTTCATAATGCCAGGTTGTTGCGAAGAGTTCTCCCTTGTCCTCGACATGCCGGATGATGCTCTAACCGTCGACGCATCTTGGCTGCGTGAACCTGCCGATTTTGATGTCCACCTGCAAAGATTGTCTCCCTACTTGAAACTGAATTGTGAAACGTGTTTGATAGAGGTGACCGATTCAAATTTCTATTGGCACTTCGATCAACAACGCTAATGGGATTTATAACAGTTAGGCGTGTACGATAAATCTTCTCTTGAACCTCTCTTTCAAAAAACAGAAAGTTCATAAGATCTACCACGCGGCCGGCTCAATGACGCGGTCTGAAGTTCGGCTCAAGAATGAGCGCTAAGCAATTTGATTACTGCGGTAAATATTTGAAGCTTTTTCGAATAACGTTAAACACGGCTACGTTCGACCAAAGTGATGCAATGTTTGCTGCAATAGTCAGATTTAGATCGAGGACGCGGACGTCAAAGACGACGTAAAAATGGCGTCAAAATGGTGTGGCATATCCATACATGGGCACAACACGCCATTTTTACGTCGTCTTTGACGTCCGCGTCCTCGATCTAAATTTCTAATCTCGACTTTAACTGAGTAACACATCTTGGGTAGCAATCAGGGCCGCCGAGAGGGGGGGGGGGGCAAATTGCCCCGGTCCCACCATAATAGGGCCCCAACTTGAGAGCGAGAGCCTAAAATTGAGTGGGTCATTTAAATTGGTCGGAGCATTTTCGGAATTGAGGACCCCTTACAGTAGCTCCATATGCAGTCTAAGGTCTATTTGGGTGACTGACTTAAAAATAATGATGTCATGGGGCCCACAGAGAAGATTTGCCTCGGCCCCCGCGAATTCTCTTGGCGGCTCTGGTAGCAATAAGCTTTCACGTTGCTTGAAAGACGTGATGTTTTAGTTTAACGTAGTGTTGAGCATGACAAAGCCGTTGAGAATACCCTGGGTCTGAAACCACAAATTATTCACAGTTTTTGTCTTGCATGACAAATTTCTTTGTTTCGAAACCGGCGTCGTCGAGCCGGCCGCGTCGTGGATCTTAAACGGCTCTCGAATGCCTTCCTAACCAGACCCCATTTCAATTGAAAGGAGGATATTATTAAGCTAATTTTTTGTCAATCAATTTAACGTGTGAGTAACATTTTGTTGTTAATTGACTTTCAAACTGTTTCCAACTTTGGAGAACGTTAGTTTCATGGCCCAACGGAGCGATTCATGGCAACGCGGAGCGATTTTTCGATTTAGTCACTGACCGATAACTTTGATCCTAGTTTAAGTTTTCCAAATATGTAGAAGCGCTATAACATTTTGAGTTTATTTGGTCAACATATCTTTTAAAATTTCCTTTCATCGGCTGTTTTATTAACTGAAAAATCCCCCGCCGCGTTGTCGAATCGCGTCCGGTGTGTCTCTGCCTTTACGAGTTTGTCTTGTTATATTATGTTCAAGTATTAATTAAACTGCTTTAAATTTTGTCAAGCAAAGAAGATCGTAAACGTGGATTTTACGTGGTATATAATAGTGCATGTAAGGGCTCAAAATAACGGGAGATATAGGTCTCCAGTCAACTTGATTTTAGCTCGGTCAAAATCTGTTTTTGACCGGTCATTGATACGCTTACACTAACAGCGAAACAAACTGTTAGAAATTTGTTTCGACACATCATAGTTTTATGTTTTAATTCAAGATGTCAGCAATCACATTGGAAGGCATGAAAATGTGGCCGGTCAAAATGAAAGGCGAGGTACTGAAAAAGTGACCTTCGAGATGCATTTTTGGCTGGTCATTGTCCGTTGATTGGCCGTTATCCTGGGCCCTGCATGTACTTCTGTAACACCATACAAATTACAAAAAGATACCATTCAGTTGTCGTACATGTCTTTCTGTGACATGACTTTGCAAACTGCTTGTGCAATCTGAAGTTTCATGTCGTATCGTGTATATGCATACAGCTATTTCAATTAATGTTGTCCACGAGCAAAGCGGTCGAATACGAGCGCGAAAGCTGCTGGGGACCGCTTTGAAAATTAATTAATTTGTTAGCGATTCCCAGCAGCCTTTCGCGCTCGTATTCGACTTTTCCGTTTTGCTCGTGGACAACATTAATTGAAATAGCTGTATGCACATGTACTTTCTTTGGAAATCGGAAAATGATCAAGATCAGTAGCGACTCTGATTGATTGATTTACATATTGTATAGTTTGTATTGACATACGACTGTTGACATTGCTTTTGGTCTTCAATATTTAAGTGAGTCGCGCTTTGGAAATGACTTCGCGGTACCCTTGGTTGTTTTGTTTTTCATGCATTTACCCAACCTTTTACTCACTCAAAATTTTGTTTTACACCCAACCCTTTTCTCTTCGGTGCCCCCCCCCCCCCCCCCCCCCCCC